GTTGAGGTTGTGAAAAGATCAAGTACAGCCGGATTAAATAAAGCCCAGCGTTATGACAGCGGAAAAGGCTTTCAATACTTAGATCTAAATTCTGTATTAGGAATTCTTTTTAAAAAACTAAATGGTTTACAAAAATATCAGCATTTTCTCTTTGAAGCAGCTCATCCAGGAGTCGTCAAAGCTCAGCTGGTGGCTAATGGTGCATTTACTGAATTTAATTTGTCAAAAACTAGAAAAGCAAGCATTTCTGAAATTACCAAAGAAATTAAATCTTTTTCTATTTTAGTTCTAACTCCGCCTCCTTTGGATTATAAACGACAAGAATATCTTTACCATAATATCCGCCTATTTGTTAAAGATGAATTCAGGGATATTACTTGTCCAAGACCAACTTATACTGAGAATGAATAAAAATATTTTAGTCAACCGCAAATTTTATTACTTTATTAGTTTTTTTTTGTTTCTATTACTATTAAATTCTTTATGATTTAATCTTTTAATATTAAAATAATAATATAGGAATTAAAATCATGACAAACCAAAACAATATTTTAACTGAAGAGAAAATAAAAGAACTGTCGTAACGACGAAATTTAGTGACGTATTCCTCCTAGATTTCTGCACAGCTCCGACGGTTAACGCAAGGATTTCGATCAGCAGATCCGCGTACGAAGTGTAAGATTCTCAACATCCACGCTGTGCTAAATTTAATGCAGATCCTTGGCGTAACGAAGTAATAGTAAGATTTCTAAATATGGTAGGGGAAGTACTGATCCTGGAAAAGAAATTAAGCGTTACACACACGCGTCGGTTATTAGTGTTGAGAATGCTTTGTACTTGAAACTTCTTATTCGAACGATGTCCTTAGTTCCAGGGGTTAATAATCCAGCGATTGACAACTTGGTTCAATGCTCCTTGGAAAGTGAAAACGAAAACTTACGACTTGAATGGATTTCTTACAGTTTTTTTACTTTCAAATCTTGAAATGGATTTATTATTCAGACAAGTAAAAAACCGTCATTCTAACGAATTTTTTTTTCGAAAAAATCCTTCACGTGTTTGAGAATCAAGGGCACGTTCGTCAAAACAGATACCGTTGCATAAACAACCCTGTTTCCAAAAATTACGATGCTTGCTTTCGATAGTTGTAATAAATCATCTCAACCAGCAACTATTTTAAAGGGTGATCTTTCTTTTGGCTGGTTTGTAGAGGAACTGATATTATTTTAATTCATAAGTTTATAAAATTATGTTTACGATTAAGTCGGTTGTGGAACTTTAAAGTTATCTTCGATGAATAAATAAATAATATTATATATCTTTTTTGCATCTTTTGTATCTAATAAATAAAAATTTAAATGCACAATATTTAACTATACATTTGGGCCCGAGATAAATTACTTTTATATTCTCAAAAATGCGCCACAACTTTAAGAGTCAACCCAAAAATTGGCCTACAGACTAAGGGATAAATCAAGGCCTTTAGATGTCTTGAAATAGTAATATGCCACGTAGGTAGGTTTTGAATCTATGTTTCTGACATTTGTTTAATACATGATATCAAATAACTAATACCAAGCCTTTTTTATGTCAGTAAAAAGCTTTACGTACACAAATGCAAAGCAGTTAATACAGACTCTTAGAAACAAGATGTCATTAATGATGCCACCCAATGCACTTGACAAGTTCAAACTTCTGCTTGTCTATACGGATGTTATAACCATGCCTTAGGATTCTTCAATTTCGTTGCCAAATAGTCTGTAACGTCTCCCGCATCTTTATCACCTAAACATTGTAGTTCTGCTTTTTTGCCAACGAATAGCATACGACAAATTTCGGTCATCCATGAATTTGGTAAATACTCGCGACTGAGGAGACCAAGTGCCTTCTTCCTATCAGCAAAAGTCATTGGTAGTAGTTTATCCAACGCTACAAATGTTCTCCAGTCTCTACAGTGTAATCCTATCCATTGCATATCGGGAGTTGCGAGATTTTGACTATCGAATGACATTGACTGTTAAACGAGCGTTGATATGGTTACTATATTGTGGGGAAAGTACGTAGATTGAAATAGTTGGAGAATGTGAATGAAATACCGTCGATCCGTATTTGTAAACACATAGTATATCGATTCCTACAGTATTTTGATGACAAGTCAGGTTGCATAATGGTTGAAAACACAAATAAAATGCGCACACGACGTCTTACCATATGGATCATTATCAAAGAATCCAAAAACACAAGTAGAATTCGGTGATTTTGACGCATTGCCGCGACGTTTAAAGTGATTGTCAAGCAACTTAACCAACTGTCTGGTAGCTATATCAGGATAGCCTTTGCCAGTGATGAGGATACATGAATTAATCTTGTTAAGAAAATTTATGGAAAGGAGGTGATGGAACGTGGCCTACAATAAACATGGTATATGAGATTTCCAACACGTCTTTATTTCTTCCAATTACACCTGCGCTTACAACCTCTTTCTCTACGACGATTACGATATCAGCGGTCGATTCGATTTTGCGAATACTATCGGCATGAGGAATTGCCCTCGGAATCAGACAATCGATAGTGACACCATCTGACCGAATAATCGTTAGTGCACCGGCAACTAGCCCTTTCGCTGAGGCTATCTGAAAAAAAAAAAAAAATAAAAGCATATAACAAATCAGCTTAGACTTTGCCAATTACCAAATTTAATATTACCACATTCAGACAAGATCTTGGTACGCGAAAAAGACACGCCAGTTCATCTATTGCTTGATCTACTGTATTTTGATTCACGAATAGCTGAACGTCCTTGTAGTAAATATCACGCTTGGTTGCGGTAATATTTTGTATTAGCAACTCGTGACAGATCTCGAGAATTCGCACAAAGACGGCAAAACTTTTTGGATTTTTCAATGAAGGAAAGCGTAATCGCTTTACTGTCGAGGTGTTTGTCCTTTTCAATGTTCGACTTTGATCGTCATACCTGCAATAAAAAGAAAGGATTATAGCAAAACGTACTAACAATTGTTTGTATTATTGTTATTTAAGTTATTACCGCGTATGTGTCTTGTCTTTCCGCACAGCTTTCGACACACATTCAATGACAAGAGGATAACCGTTTGCTAGGTCATGTAAAAGTTTTGCAATCATGTTCTCGATTTGTTCTATTACCCATTCCCTGATATATTATTGTTTCGTTTAGTTCAATTGGACAAGAAATAATTATAACATTTCCTATTAATCTTGCCTTGGGCGATTCGTTGTTTCGAGAAAGTCATTACTTGAACCAATATCTTCTTGAATATTTAGAGCCATTTTTTTGCAAGAAATTCAAGGGGGTTTGCCAAAGATATTTATATCAATACGGACAATATTGATATAAAATTTCACCATCCGTCACTCTTTAATCAATCACGCGATGCTATTACATATCCGAGCCAACACATTACCTGCTCATTCAGTGTCGATTTTTGGCGGTTAATTTACAATTCACGGTAGACCTTACCATATAAATTATAACCTGCTACAATTTCTGGTCCCAAGTTGGGACTTTGGTATATAATTATAACGTATAAACTTGCAACCTGCAGGTCCTACTTTTGTTAGAGCATCCTGCACGTTTTTTCACAATCAATACTCCGCCTACACCTGAGCTGGCAATTAACGTGTGATTTACACGGCGTCTCAAATTTACCGGGCGATTTACGCGTTTTGCATGAACTGTACATTCTAATTAGGAACAGTATGTTTTATGTATACCAAAGTTTAAAACGTGTTCCATCAATTAATTTAAAAGTTTTGGTCAGTAGGCACAAAAATGCATATGTAATGACCTTAGATACTATATATTAATATTAATATAACATTAACGTTAGCTAAAAGAGATCGGTAACATTGATCAAGTTGCCATTTACAGATGTTGAGTTTGTCAAAATGTAATTTAATATTGAAATTGGTGCATTTTTATTTATAATGCTAACAAGATGCAAGTCTTTCGGGAGCGAGAGGGTTTCAAGACATAGTTTTGACGGTAAAAAAAAATTTACTTAATTTTATTGTTCATACGTTTGGAAAAGTGTAAACCGATTGGATTGTGGTGATGCTGTTTAACCAGCGTAAAATAGAATTATTATTATGAATTAAATTGTAAGTATGACTTGTCATAAATAGACGTTGTTAAGAAGGTTTATTTAGATGAAACATTTTGTCTTTTCCAGCTTCGCGACTATTCAGCTTAATATTATAGAATATGCAATATATGCTGATGTTGTAAAAGTCTACGTTAATCGTATCCAGATTGCTATGATATTTCGAGAGAAATATAAACTCGCTGGTTTATTTATTTTTTCTTGGCTTTGTCCATTGTTATCCGATCAATCTATATCCACGGATACGTCTATCGACCCAACATTCTTTATTATCTAATAAGTTTTGTTTATTGAAGACGAAGAGCTACTCTAACAATTCGTATTAGCCTTAGTAGTACGCTACAAACCATAGATTCCGCTACTACGCGCAAAATCGATCTTGTCTATCGATTTTCAGGTTGACAATATACGATTTCTACTTAATTGTCTACAAATACGTCTACTTTAGTATAAACAGTTCCCCAATTCGTACCTACAGGCTATCGAAAGTAATCCCATCGATAGAGGCAGATGCATATACTACAGTTAAAGTAGTACTGAGCGTCTGCATGTACAAAAAAATTGTGAGATATTAATCCCATTTAATCACTGGCTGTTGAGCGGCTTGGAGAAGTTAAATCCCAAGTCAATTGCCACACTTTTAAAACGTGTTCTATCTTTGTAAAGCAAATTCCCGGGCTTTAAATCTATAGAGAAAGAAGAAGAGAATTAGCAAAGAACAAATAACCAACGCAAGAATTACCGCAATGTATGACGTGATGGTCGTTATAATATCATAGCCAATCCATAAAGTAAGCGAGTGTCCTGACGTCCGAAGCAATTTATTCCAAGTCTCCAAACTCATCTTCTGTACTTCTATTTAGCCATTGCCTGAAGCCAAGAAGTCTTACTAATTGCAGAATTGCGTCATAAATTTCACTTGGCAGCACAAACTTGCGTAACATAAATAAGTGGCATGCCAACATTCTTGTTGTTCACAAACATGAAAGCACAAATGCATGGCGAATGATAAATATTGAGACCCCGCTTCGACAAATGCAAATGCCAAACAAAATCACAATTCTTAACCAGGTCGCTATACTTTGATTAAAAGGACAAAGGAGGAAAGCTTTTCTTACCTGGGCACGATGGCTTCCTTTGTACCCGCGGAAATTCTTCTCAAAATCTTCTCTTATCTACCTGTGCAATCAGCAATAGACCTAGCCACTGTATCAGATCTTCCAAGTTCCCAACCCTTTTCATGCTCGCCATTGCCATTACCTCTACAGCGTCACTTGCCTCACTTGACGGATTTATTTTCCTGTATGCTGGTAAATCACTACTGGTGTCAGAACGTAGTCACTTTTATCTGGAGAGCACCATTCCATGGATTGTCGATTCCAACGGATAGGGTATTAGCTAGGCAGATCGTTGGGGTTTATATGAGCTGTCTGGACGAAGAAGATCGAAATACCGTTTCGCAGCTTGGTCTAGCTATGCCAAAGAGGAAAGCACTGTTCAAGTATTGCACATTTCTGAAAGAGTTGGATTATTGCGCTATGGTTTTGGGAGTCGGAACTTGGATAGAGCATGCGACAGTACCGCTGGCAAAGAGTGTAAAGCAAGGACGGTTTGGCTACAGGGATGGACCTGTAGGTTATGATGTCAATGACGATGAGGATGAACTTACTCGCGCATTGGCATCGTTATCGTTGTCTCAACCACCCGACACAACCCGTTCCAGGTTGTTTCGACCTACCGCCAGAAAACATTCTATTGTTTTAGGTGCGTTATTGAGTTCGTTCGTTAAACAAAAGGTTAGGATCAGAAATTTGATTATTAGATCAAGAGACACAGAAGATTGGGAAAGCGATTGTAGTGTATATGGTACCTTGTTAGCCGAGGAACATAGGGAGTTACTTGCACCTTTGAGGGAGTTGAGAGTTTTATATAATGGATTCGTAAATGCTTCGCGCGAAAAATTATTCATGGGACTGTCGACAGCTTGTAAAAATCTGGTAAGACTTTTGTATTTCGTGATGGTTGTATATTCAATGTATGCAAAATGATTAATGCGATTCATTTATATGCAGAAACATATTCGTATAAATATAGGATATACAGGACATGGGTCTGTTCGTGCTAGAGAAGCAAAATGCATAACTGCCTTGATTAGATCGCAAAATGCTCTTAATTCTTTCTACCTCGGTGAATGCCCACCGAGACTTGTATCTATAATAGAACCCGCTCTTTCATCCCAATCGGAGAGTCTTATGTATGTAGTGTTTGCGTACGTTGATTTTGTAGGGTCTCCGTTGACTGCACTTGCTGAGTGTCTCGAATTGAAAATGCTAAAGATCATGTACTGTAAAAGTGCATCGACGGAAGTATTTGGACATGTGATGAAGGCAGATTTTCATAAATTACGAGACGTACGGATAATTGGTTGGGCTGAGCCAAAGTTACAATATTGGGCGACTTCTGTGAGAAACAAGGGGAGTATATTTTATGGGTAAAGCGAGATGAACAGAATATCCTCCCGTTGTTATTTAATCAAAGTTGTAATATAATATAATAAAATAATTTATGCTACTTTTGGTTGACATTTTCAATAAATATTAGTTCTGGTTCAAAATCGATTCATCAAGAATCCCGTAAATATATCGAACTTCCTCCATATATGTCTACAATATCCCCATTTACCATGCCATATTCCTACAACGGATAAATCAAGAGTGGTAATAATCATGGTAGTACAGCCCCAGTTAATCTGCACAACAAAAAAATTTGATCTTTTTGTTACGACAATATTAATACGTAACGGCCTTCGCGAAAAACGTCAATACATGTAAAAGATCAACACTTCCAAATTCTTTAAAAACCCTATACAAGTGAAACTCGATATAAGAAGCTCTCGATATAAGAAACACTAATTAAAATTTGATATAAGAAAGTTGTTCTAAAAAATAGTCTATATGAAACTATCTCTATAGAAGAAAGTTACTAATAAACTCTCGGTATAAGAAAGATTCTAAGATTTTTTACTATGGGTCCCGATCACTTTCTTATA